CTCTTCGGCTCCCCCTCCCCCTCGCTCTCCCCACCACTCCCCTCCTCCTCCTCCGCGCCAAACCCCTTCTTCAACCCCTTCATCTTCCGCGTCTGCAGCCCCCCCAGCTCCTGCCTCGCCACATGCACCCGGCCCCTCAAATCGCCCATCTCGTCCACCTCCACATTCTTCCGCTTCCTCCCCACGCCCTTCTCGACGTCCTGCTTCTTCATCTTCGGCCGCTTCATCGCCGCCTTCCACAGCTCTGTATCGGCCGCTTTGTGCCGGCGGAGGGAGAGGTCGAGATGCGGGCCCATGGGCACGAGCTCGACGCGCGGCGTGCGGACGCCCGAGGCGCGCAGGCTGAGGGTGTACCCGCGGATGTGGACCGTCGGCAGAGGCTGCTTGTCGCCTTCGTCCGACAGCCCTTCTGCGCCCAGCGCGGACAGCGCGCTCGTGAGGCTGTCGGGTGTAGGGCCGAGGGTTACGGAGATGACGTGCTCGAGGCCCGCGAGGTGGATCTTTTCGATCTCTTCGCCGTTGAAGAAGGAGAGGAGGAGCGACTTTAGCTGGATGAGGCGCGGGTGGGCGTCGAAGAGCTCCGAGGCGAAGTGCAGCATCGGTTTGTGGCCTGGTGTCGCTTTTGGCGTCTGCACAGCCATCCCACATAATCATTCACTACCACGAGGATTATAATATGAATAGAGGGAGCGTACCTTGAACTCATTCATACTGACGAACCGATCCACGCCCACCTCTACCATATCCAACACGGCCCCGTCGAACATCCTTACAAAAGTCAGGCCATTGGGCCGCTTCTTCGTGCTCTGGCCCAGAACGAACATCGAGGCGTCGTTCTTGGAGGCCCAGAATTCGAGCGAGGAGGCGTCTTCGAAGGGCCGGACGGCGTTTTTCTTGGAGAAGGAGATCGCGTGCGGCCGTTTGAGCGCCATCTGCGATTGTATTATTTGGGTATTGAGAATGAGAAGAGGATGAGAGTGGGGGAGGACGCACGAGCTCCTTCATGGCTGCGCCGGCAACTTCGCCTGTATGTGTGCCCCGCACGAATACGCATGTGCGCGCATCCTCGACTTCTTTTGGCTCGCGCGCCTCGAGCGCACGTTTTGACCGTGCATTTTTCGGTTTTCTATATCATATATACCAAATTAGTTAACGCATGGATTGGATAAGGGGAGATTCAAAGACGCACACAACGCGGAGCATTCTAGATAGCTCGAGCAGGAAGATGAGGGGAAGAGGAAAACAATGCTCTAACCCTAACCCGACTAATTTCGCCACATGAAGCCGCCGGGCCCGCGCGCCCGAATGAGCCGAAGCGCGCGCATGTCTGACCCGAACCACGACCACTCTCTTGCTCTGCTGTCCTCCCCCACAGACGCCATCATTGCTCTACGAATCATAGGAACGCTGGCGTCGTTGATAAGCAGCAATGCTCAGACGATGACTAGCACTACGACTACAACGATGACGGATACGACGGGAATATCGACGCCCTCAGCACCACACACCCGTCCTCTAGGCCTCAACACAACCTTCTCCGCCCTCAAACCGACTCGATTATCCCCTCCACCAGCCACTCCACCACCCCCATCAGAACCGACCTCGGCATACCCGCACCTAGCGCCGCACATAGCGCGCCTGCCACCCGAGCTCTTGCATCTGGTGTTCGAGCTCGTGAAGAGCGAGGTGTGCGCGGAGTACGAGAATGCGCCGACGGAGAGGGAGGGCACGAGGAAGCCGGATTGGATGGGGTGGAGGAATGTCACGCAGGTCTGTCAGCGCTGGCGTCGAGTGAGTATCTTCTTTCAGTCCGACCACAGCGGTCACAAGACCACATCCCACGTCAATATACTAATGTTATGAATGTGCAGATCGCCCTCGCCTCGTCGACCCTCTGGCGCGAGATCAAATTCCGCCGCGTGGGCCTCGCCTGGGGCCTCGAAATGCTCTCCCGCTCGCGCCTCAGTCCGCTCAAAATCGAGCTCGGCCACGCGCCCACATACACCGGCTTCCCCTCCGAATCCCACTCCCTCCACTTCGCCACCACTTTACTCACTGAGCCGCAGCACGCGAAGCGCCTGCAGACGTTCACGCTGTTCGGCGTGGACATGGAGTGTGTTGCGAGTTTGCTTTTTGTGGGTGAGGAGGGGGGGTTCGAGGGGTTGGAGGATTTGCAGGTCGAGACGAGGTGGGATGATGTGAGGGTTAGCTTTGAGGGGCTGAGGCGGACTATGCCGCGTTTGCGCGAGCTGAGGCTGTACGGCCCGCTCATCACACACGCGCCGTCCGAACCGCTCATACACCTCACACACCTGAATCTGCAACACGATAACCCCGCATCAGGCCTCTCGGGCTTACTCCTGCCCGACATCCTACGGCTTCTACCCAGCCTCGTCGATCTGCAATTGACCGACGTATTTCCACCGAGAGATCTGATCGAGTGCATGCCGCCCATCCCCCTCGCGAAGACCGTGCAGACGATCGCGCTCACGACGCGCTGGCGCGCCGAATGGGCCATCGCCTTCGGCCGCGTCCTTTCCCACCCCTCCGCCGCGCGCGAATACGTGCTGGAAGACTGCGACTCTACGCACTTGTCGTCTCTACTGGCGCGATACGCTGGATCCGAGGGGGGGAGAAGGCCGAGCCAGGTGGGCATCGTAGTGGGCCACCCGACGAACAGCGTTACGCTGAGCGTATGCTACGACCCCTGGGCGCGCGATCCGCCGCAGGACGCACGATTACCGCGCCATAATTTCGCAGTGACGTTCGGCGATCGGCCGGAGTTGTGGGACGTCGTGCGGGATAACGTGGATCTGCGGGGCGTGTGCGATGTTGGGTTTGAGGACGACGAGGATATGGAGGACGAGCTGAGGCGGGCGATCGAGGAGGAGGGCGGGGTGGAGGCGGTTAGGGATATGCGGTGGACGGGGAAGGAGAGGTGGAAGATTTTTGGAGGGGCGCCGGTGCAAAGGATACGCGTTACGGGGCTCGCGTGCAGGAATCTCTTCTCGATCCTCTCTTCCCCGCCCGAATGTCCTTCCTGCGACGACCCCACGACGACAACGCCCTGCGGCCACCTCCCCTCGCTCTTCCCCCTCCTGTCCGAACTAACCATCCTCGAATCGCCCTCCCTCGACTCGCCCCGCCCCGCCCGTCCTCTGGGCCCCGCGCCCTTTGCAAATGGAACTGATTTGGTGCAGGCTGTTAAGGCGCGGCAGAAGAGGTTTGGGGGAAGGATCGGCGAGGTGAAGGTCCCGGATCGGTTTTTGTATGATGTGTGGGTCGACGAGGTGCTGGTGGAGGTGGGGCGGGTTAGTAATAGTCGGTATCGGTATTTTTGAGGGCGATTGGTGTGGCGGTGGATTCACAATGTAATACTAGTATCTGGAACGGCATTCGTGCTACGGAATACGGATACGCCATCTTTTTTTATTTGCTCGGATCGAGCTTCAAAATTGGGTCGTACGGTCTCCAGCGCGCAACGAGCGACCCGATACGTCGTCGTAAGTATATCGAACGCCCATGTGGCTGAACTCACGTGAGCGTGCGTCTAAACCAGCGGCAAACCCCGCGAGCCATCGAGCGCTATCAACGCATTCCGAACTCCATCGCGTTCAAATACCAGCATACACCATTGCACGCTTCGAGTGTGTACAGCGCGCTAAGTACATCGAACATCTTGCATAGTCTCCATAAAACCCCGTGTTTCCACGTCCGATTCATCCTGAATGTGCTCAGCATCTCGCAGCTCCCTCCGCTCGTAACCGGGCCCCTCGCCTCTGCACTATCCACACGTCCCAGGAAGATAAGGTTGATGCTGCGAGATGCTGTACGGCTCTTATGCTTTTCCCTTTCCCTTATTTTTTGCTTTGCCTCCCTTCTTTTTCGACGACTTTGATTGTGCCGGTTTCGGAGTGTCGTGACCAGGATTCGACCCGGTTGATGGGTGTACGCCTCCGGACGGCGTTGTGACGAGAGGGTCGGCTGTGTTAAATGAAGAGGCGCTGGCCGAGTTGGCTGTGCGTATCTCTTTGCGCAACTGGATTGTTTCGGAGCCAGATGCGATCCGCGTAGCTGACTCAATGAGCCCCTGACCTGCACACAAACGAAGAGTCTGCGTAAGTATCAAGACCAAGCAACTGCAAGTCAAACCAGGCTGAACGCAAACTGACCTGTCGACCCCGTCTCGCTCGCCGACTGGCCCTCCTCCTCTTCTGGTCCGGACTCAAAGATCGAGTGGCACGGCTCCCCCCACATAGCCCAGAGATCCGCCCAAGTCCTGACAGACTTCTCCCACTTCTTCAGCCCGTCGCTCCACACGGCTCTCTGCTGCTCGATCGTCGGGTCGGGCGGCATCGACACGATGCAGTAGTCCGCAAACGCGATGTAGTCCGCCTTGATCTCGGTGAACGACGGGATCTCGGGTTTGGTCGCTTCGAGGAGTTCCTGCGAGTTCAGAGTTTAGGGGCCGGATTCGCTGGCTGGATGGTCCAGCTGTTCATGGTCATGGACGTACGTATTCTATTATGAATAGATCTCTGGCTATGTCGGATTCGTCTTTGTGCTCGGCGACGGCTAAGCTCTGAGCTATGTGCATCCCGCGAGAGACCAACACCGCGACGCGCCCGGCCTCGCTCATGTAGATCATGACCATCTCGACCATCTTCTTGAGCGCATTCCGCTTCTTCAGGCCGTTGAGGATCGCGATGACCTCGGGTCTGGACTTGAGCTTGGACTCGGACATGGTGGACGTAGAAGGACAAGAAGAATGTGGTGGTCGCACGGGAGTCAAGTGGTAGGACGGACGTGGGATCGTAGAAGCGCGCATCCTGCCTGTTTTGAGCGCTGTTGACGTACGGAGGTGGACGGCACGTGAGGTTTGAAATGTTGCCATCATGGCGATGGCAATTTGGTGGGCGCTTAGATGCACACGAGGCGGTTTCGGGGATAAGGAGCACGAGTATGCGATTGAGTACAACGTGCACAGCAAATGGCGGAGTGATGTCGAGTGGACGTCGGCCGGGACTGATTAGATGCTGTGTAGAGTAATGAATGCACTCAGTCAATAAAAAGTACTCTGGTCTTCCAAACTCACGTGAGCGCGCGCTTCGCCGACGGCAAACGCCGTGGCCCGTGGGCCTACAGCAACGACAATTCGAGGCATCCCGGACGTCCATCGCGTACGCACAACGCTATATGCGTCTTCGAGAATACTCCACTTGTCATGTGCTACATCGTACAAAACTCGTACATGCTCTACATTTACTTCCACGTTCCTCTGTCCATTGCTGTCAGGCAGGATCTCGCGGCTCCCTGCGCTGCTTCTTCTGTGCCGGGTTCACAGCCTCTTTAGCACCAGCGCCTTCAGCTGCCCGTTTATGTCCCGAGCGTACAGACGGCTGACCGCGACCGTCTCCCTCCTGAAGCCGATCCTCAATTCGCGCCACGGCATCCTGAATCCCCTTCAACAGCGCGCTCTGCCACTCCTCCCGCGTCCTTCTAACCTCATACGCCACGCCCTTCTTGCTCTCCGCGACCTGCGCCAGCACACGCTCCTCCTGCCCCGCCAACAGACTCTGCACGGGCCCATCCTTCGCAGCCAGCGTGTCGATCCGGGATCTAAAGTCGAGGATCTCGAAGCGCTGCTTTTTGTCCTGGTCTTTCAGGCCGTCGTTCTCCTTCCTGAGCGCGGCGTTCTCCGCGCGAAGTCTGTCCAGTTGAGATCGCAGCGCTTCGTTTTCTTTGGCCGACAGTTGCTGCGCCAAGGCGGCGTTCTCGTCGCGTATCTTGTCTGCCTCCTGCGCGCGTGCGATGATGGCCGCGAGATCATTATCAGACGTTGAGAGTGCATCGGCTGCTTCTGGGAGCGGAATTGCGGCCCATATCTTGCGGGTGACAGAACGAGGGCGTGAGGGGCTTGGCACGGATTCTTTGCCCTTGCCCTTACCTTTGTCGTCGGAGGGTTCGGGACGCTGCGATCCTTGGCCGTCGAAGGCGTGCTCGGACGATGACGGGGGCGAGAGTTCCATCATCAGGAACGGCGTCGTGCCGAGAAGATCCATAAAAGAAGATGCGTTTCCCGAGGAGTGAGAATCGCCCTATACCCATCCCTCGAAATCGCTAGGGAAGACGACTAACCTATAGTCGCCAAGAACTCCTTCCGCGGGTCCGTGCCCTCTGGGAGCGGCGGGAACGTCCCCAACCACGTCGCCCATATCCCCTCCCAAACCGGTATCGACTTCTCCCACTTCCTCAGCGCTTCGGTCCAGACGGCGCGCTGCTGCTCTATGCTCGGGTCCGGCGGCATAGACACAATGCAGTAGTTCGCGAACGCCATGAACTCCTTCTTGACCTTGATGGCCCACTCGTCGTCGGGGCGCGTCGCGTCGAGGAGTTCCTGTGCGTGCGTAGATGGTCAGACTCTCCGAGAGATCCTATGCTATGACTTTGACCGGCGCACGTATTCCTGTATGAACAGATTCCGCGCCAAATCCGATTGCTCCTTATCCGTCCCGCGCGCTAACGTCTGAGCTATGCACAGCCCGCGCGAGGACAACACCGCGGCGCGGCCGTTGTCGCTCAGGCCGCTCAAGCTCTCGTTGACCATTTTCTTGAGCGCATCGCGCTTCAGGAGGGCTTTGAAGACCTCTGAGGGACTGGGCTCGGACATGAGGGCAGGAGATGAGAAGACATGGACACGAGAGTCAGTGGTAGAACATGGACGTGGGAGGTCGAAGCGCGGGTTGCCTGTTTTAAGCGCTCTGTTGACGTAACGGTACTGGGAGGCGCTCAGACCGGACACGTGAGGTTCGACTTCATACACTCATGACACTTGAAGTATTCGTGTATAACTCGCAGTACATACATGCGGAGTCCGGACGCCTAGTATCCAGCTGAACCCACGTGAGCGTGTGGCTCGACCGACGGCAAACCCCGCACGCCTGGAGATCGAGCGCGCTTTCTGTCAACGCGTTCCGCGTTCCGCGACTAACGTGAACATCTGGCACCACGTTCGAATCATTGCTATATATCATTTAGTGCCTCGTGCACATACTATGCGCTAAGTATATCGAGTATCTTGCATAGTCTCCATACAGCCCATGCTTCTCCGTCTGCTAATTGGTTACCCAGCAGGCTCTGTACTAGCTGTACGTCCTGCGAGAGGTGACTAAGGCTGAGGCTGCGAGGAGCCGTCCGGCTCTTTTGCTTTGCCCTTTCCCTTCTTTTTTGCTTTACCTTTTCCCTTCTTTTTCGACGACTTTGCTTGTGGCGGTTGCAGAGTGTCCGAGTCGTGACTAGTAGGATGCGACGGAGCTGGGTTGTGTACGCCCCCGGACGGCGTTGCGGCGGGAGGGTCGGTTGTGGCGAATGAAGCTTTGCTCATGGCCTCGATCATGGAGTCGATGTCTGTGCGTAGGCCTTTGCGGAGTCGGAATGTTTCGGTGCCGGCTGCGATCCGTTTAGCTGACTCAATGAGCGCCTGACCTGCGCACAGACGAAGTATATTACTATATGTTCCCCAAGCAACCGATAGGTCTAATCAGACTGAACGCAAGCTGACCTTTCGACTTCGTCTTGTTCTTCGACTGACCCTCCTCCTCCTCTGGTCCGAATTCAAAGATGTTGTGGCACGGCTCCCCCCAAAAAGTCCAGAGAGACGCCCAAGTCTTCACAGACTTCTCCCACTTCTTCAACCCGTCGCTCCACACGGCTCTCTGCTGCTTGATAGTCGGGTCAGGCGGCATCGTCACGATGCAGTAGTTCGCAAACGCGATGTAGTCCGCTTTGATCTCGGTGAACGACGGGATTTCGGGTTTGGTCTCTTCGAGACGTTCCTGCGAGTTCATGTCGGTCAGCGCCAGATTCCCTCCTGTCAATATTATTGCGGGTGGTTCAGCTGGCCGGACGTACGTATTCTATTATGAAGAGATCTCTGGCTATGTCGGATGCGTCCTTGTCCGCGGCGCCGGCTAAGGTCCGAGCTATCCACATCCCGCGAGAGACCAACACCGCGACGCGCCCGGACTCGCTCATGGCGACCAAGAGTATCTCGATCATCACCTTTAGCACATCCCGCTTCTTCAGGGCGGTGAGGATCTCGACGACGCTGGGTTCGGGTTCGGGCTCAGACATGGTGGATGTTGAAGGCAAGAAGATGTGGTCGCACGGGAGTCAAGTGGTAGGACGGACGTGGGATCGTAGAAGCGCTCATCCTGCCTGTTTTGAGCGCTGTTGACGTACAGAGGTGAACGGCACGTGAGGTTTGAAATGTTGCCATCATGACAACGGCAATCTGGTGGGCGCTTAGGTGCACACGAGGCGGTTTCGGGGATAAGAAACACGAGTATGCGATTAGAGGGCAAAGCCCGGGTGTATGAGTAGGATTTGTACAGCGAATGGCAGAGTGATGTCGAGTGGACGTCGTTGGAGACAGATTAGATGCTGTGTAGAGTAAAGGAGCAGAGACAGAAGCAAAGTGAAAGGGACCATTAGGAAGATGCGTGAAGTAATCGGGAGAGAAGAGATAGGAAAAAGAATAGAAGAACAGAAGAACAAAAGACGATAACCTTAGTAAGCATTGGGGTGCTCAGCGACGAACTCGTCGTATGCAGGGCAGAGGGCATCCCAAGAAGCTACACAATACGTTGAGCAAGCATAATGTGATGGAGATGTCAGGACGTACACGGTACAGGGTTAGAGGAGGCAGCCTGGTCGATGTTCTCAGCCATGACGACGGCGAGGCCCTGCGCGACGATAAGTACAGGCTCTCATCGGTAGAAGCATTGCGCTACTCACATTGTTCAAGTGCCAGTCGATATGGCTGAAACGGGCCCGCATCAGCGCATGCCACGCTCGACTCGAGGAGAATCAGACGCACCAGTGGAGAATCCAAGGACCAGCATTGTCCGTCTTGAACCGGATGGTGACCTCGTCGTCGGTAGAGTTGCCGGCGCTGACTACATCACGAAGAACGGGGTCTACGAGGTTGAGGGAGGAGTTGCCAGCGCTGCGAAGAACCCAGAATTGGTGGCCGTGGAGATGCATCGGGTGCTATCCGAAGACATGTCAGAACAGGGAGCGGAGAGTGATGAAGAGCACGCACAGGTCCGCCGAGAGAGCCACCGGGTATGATCAGGTCAACGACCGTGTTGGGCTCAAGCTCGTAGATGCTACCCTCGGGTACGAGGCTCTGTGCAGTCTTATTGCCGCCAAGGATCTGAAGGAGAACGGGCGTCTCCGGCGGGGTGTACGTGTGATTGTTGACGAAGAAGCTGCCGTTCTGATGGAAGTCAGGTCACTTGTCACACGGCAAGTGAGGCGGCATGAGACATACCAAGGAGATCTGAAGGGGGATGGTCTTGTCTGCGACCTGCGGAGGCGGGGTGGGTACGAGCGGGTGAAGGTTGGTTTCAACGAGGGGAAGGCGCGAAGGCGTGGTGGCGTTATCTTTGGCATGCGGCTCTTCGTCGTGGGCTCCTTTGTAGCGGAGTATAGCTGAGTTAAGGCCATGCTCGAACGTGGTAGCGTTGGGGTTGTTGCTAGAAGACTGAGGCAGAGCGTGGATCCCTGAGGTGATATTGTCAGCATGAAGACATCCACAGACGAAAGGGGAGTTATGTACAGTAGTTGTCCGGCTTCTGGTTGGCATCAAGCACGAAGGAGTAGCGCTGTCCTGCGTAGATCTGGATTGAGTCTACCTTGAGCGGTTCAACGTTGGAACCATCAGCTGAGACACTGTTAGATCTCGCCTCTTCTCTCAGAGATGGCGGTTCGTACCTTCAATGACCGTCATGTCATGGTTGTCAATGGAAAAGATGAAGTTCTGTCAGAGGTCAGACCTGGCGAAGTCATATGCAGGAGAAAGGCTCCTCACCGGATCGCACGACATGGAGATTAAGCGCATGCGATACTTCGTGCCGTACTCGACGTTGATGACAGCGAGATCATGGCCAAGGTTCTCTCCAACCGGGTCAATGTAGCGGCCTTTTCCGTTAATGAGCGTGCTATTGAAGTAAACTACAAGTCATAAGCAAGAGGGCACTTTCGAATCAGTGAAGACGACGCACCAATGGCCGGTGCCTGGGGAGAAGCAAAGTGATACCAGTCGCTGAGGGTAATGATCGTCTCTTCATTGTCAACTTCGTATAGATGTTTGTGCGGGTCATGAGGGTCGTAAACAACAAGAGGGCCACGAAGTCCATCGCCTGTGATCACGTAAGTAACGGCACAAGAGGGACTTCGAAGGTGCAACGTACAGTATTGGGTAGAGTAATGTCTAGGGCGCGCTCTCAGTACAAGAACTGGATGAGGGCGCATGCAAACTTACGAGTGATACCAGTAAGTTCCGGCTTGGTCGGTCACATCGAACTTATAGGTGAACTCTTTGCCTGCAGTCCAAGCGCGTCAGGTACCTTCCACGCCGCGAGCGATCAGTGCATACCGGGTACAATGGGACATTGGTTCACAGTAGCCACTCCATCCATTTCGTTCGTTCCATGTTGAAAGAAACCGTGCCAGTGCTTGAAGACGGGGATGTTCACAGTCAGAAGCCATGTCTCTTGGTCTTGAGGAATCCGAAACTCACAACCGAAGTTACAAGGGCGAGAGACTCGTCTTTCAAGTCGTCGGCGACGGTGAGTTCGAAAGTGTCACCCTATTTGAACTAATAAGCCTCAACAAAGCCAGTCAGCTAACGTGATACTCACGACGTTGGCCGTTATGAGTGGTCCAGGGAATTGACCATTGACAGTGACACCGCTACGCTCTGATTAGCCAAGCCCAATAGGAACCGATTAATGCTCAGGAGCTCACGTTCGCTTGAAGCCATCTGGACTGAGCTCCGCATTGCCGATAGTGAGCTTCTTGCTAACAGTCGCAGCAAGAGTTCCTGAACCCAAAAGAAGAAGGGAAGGAATAGAGAAAGAAGAAAGCATGCGAACACCAGTAATGAAGAGAAAGAACAGAAAAAAGAAAGTACTGGATATCGGGAAGCAACCGAAAGTATGATGGAGAGTGGTGGTCCTGTTCTCCACTACTTATATCACGGCTAGCGACAGTATCTCGGCGAGGCTATGCCGACTCAAACGGGCGAGCGTACGGACTTTACTGAATTCCGTCCTTTCCGCTGTAACGCACGCGTCTGAACACCTTTAGACGTTCGCGAATGTCGAAGCGCCCGAAATTCGTTACACGAAGAATGGCGTAAAAGCGGCGTTGGGGGATATAGACGCCTTTTCTCGGTGTTCTGGGTGGACATTCGTGACTGTTGCCGCATACTCGGTGTTCACGAGCTCCGTGTATACTTCACGGTGAGTCATAGATGGTTAAGGGCAACGTCTTTGGTGGGTGATGGTTGGGAGCAAGAGCATATCCGGCGCGAATCTTGAGCAGACCGTGGACCAGCGGAGGCTTCGGCCGGTTGTTGATCCGGGCTGGGTCGCCGAGGTCACCGGCGCGGTCGGCCCTTGCTCTGTAACTCCCACCATCTCATACAATCCGATGCATCATAATATGTACTACTGTACCGCGTCCATTACTGAACTGGAGTTTCGACTGTCGTTAGAGCCGTCACTCCCGCTCAGGCGACGTGCGTGGGCTCACATATGACACTTCCTGGATGGGATCTCTTCGAGCGCTCGGCAACACGCTCGTTCTTGACATCGGTTACTGCGCAGGACGTCCCATGACATTCCTTCCCAACCACTGCTCTCGCGGAGGGATTTTTTGAGTCTGACTCGCGTGTGACGAAGAATGCCACCATGGCCAATGATGAGATGGCTGGCGCTGGAGATGTCGTTCAGACGTAAAAAAGTCGAGCGTGGATCAGGGAGGGCATCTCGCTACTACGTATAGGTTGAATATATGTCCAGGGGCATCATGAAGGCTCGTTATTATGCCAGTGACTCGCAAGGGAGAGGAACACCGATCATGTCACAGCTTGGGCCGGCATGACCTTCCAAATCGCCGTCTCTAGGTATATAAAGCCGGATTGTGTCGTCTGCTAGATGGCATTGAGCAACTTCCCTACCTGCCTACACGGCCCCGAAACACTCTTCTCCAGCTCTCCTCTTACACCTTTCTGATCCTTCGTTGTGCGCCGCCCGCTCTCGTCACCGATGGGGCAGTATTTCATGTTGTAGGCACAGTTTCACTGTTCTCGTTGTGGTCAACACGCTAACCATGTTCACCGTTCAGCCTAAATCTGACTCGTAGAGAAGCAGGAGGATATGGTGGAAAGTTTGGCGAAGATTTTGGGTGCAATTACAACGCTGTCGCCAAAAACCTGAGCAAACCGACATTCCCAACAAAGCCACCGAAGGAAGTGTGAGCCATGAAACACATTCTCCCCAGTGAACCTATAAACTGATTATATCCAGTGCCTCATTCCCCAACGCACACCGCTCACATCTGGGGCTGCTCGCTTCCGTCCCCACCGAGCTCATCGACATCATCTTCGGTTTCCTCTTTGTACCGCAACACGTCGCGCATTTTGCTGCTGCGCACCCGTTGTTGGGCTCACAAGGTTTCTCTCGGATCGTCCGTATTCGCGCTGAGATACTCGGAGGCATCACCTGGCACTGCAGCCGTGTTGTGCTTGTCGGAGACTACCTATGGCGCGCTCAGAACGTCGACGGCCTACTCCCAGACGACTTGCGTACAGACATGGTAGCGCTCGGGGAAGAGCTCCAAACCGGAGAGGAAGGCCCGGACGATCGGGACCCTTTTTCTCTCTACGACTTTGCCAGGACTCACTTCCGTGGCGTCAAGTACAACGACGTCGGTCCCTTGTCAGCACTCCAGAACATTGAGGACAAGTTGGTCCGGGCCGGGCTCTCTTGGGCGCAACTCCGCACCGCAAATCGTATGGATCGTACGGACAGTATGCGCGTAGACAGGATGCTGAGCAGTTCCCAACCTACTCTCCCGCCTTGCCATACATCCGTCTTGTGCAATATGACGAAGCGACAATGCGTACGCGCTCAAGTCCTGCGTCGCGTCCGGTTGGATGGCTACTATGGCAACACCAAAACGGGCGACGGTGACGATTCTGACTCCGACGAGGACCAGAACCCACACCCTAGCAGCCTTTCCATCGGATTGACCGTGTTCTTCCTAACGGTGTGCTCCGACGATTGGTGCTTCATCCCGCCGTATGACGGGAAGGAGGATGATCCCCTTTTCAAGGAGATGCGCACAGTCGTCGGCAAATGGGCGGGTGATAGTCTTGGGGTCTTTGGGCCAGAGGATGTAGAGCAAGACATGGTAGACGTGTCCGAAGAGGTTGCTCATATCGTCGGAAAGTTCCTGCAGGAAGAGGGGTATTCGAAGTAGGAACAGCAACCTGGCGATATACGTATACTAGCGTCATTGTCTGATATTGCACCATGACTGTACTACTGTACATCCGTACATCGAAAAAGCAGTCTCTTGAAGCCCAACGTACCAGAACCATAAAGATATGCCAAAAGTGACAGCATACGGAGGGATGACTTCAGAAGTACGCCTAGGGACGACATGTACAGTCAGTATTCCGAACAACGGCAAGTTAGTGACGAGCGTACCGCCGCATTCGGTGGACTCGCGACACCTCCCAAACTATACGAATCAGAATGAGCCTGAGTCCGGAATCAGGAGCCGTACGGGGAGAGGAAGACGTACACGTTCAGAGGCCACGACGAGAAGAAGAACGTATAGCGGCCCGTACGTTTGCATACTTCCGATAACTTCTCTACATCGAAGAACTCGCCTGTACATGACGTCAGCGATTGAGTTCAACTTCCTCTCCGGTTGACACGGCTAGCTTACCGAGCGGCATTCCCCATAATCTATGTGTGAGATCATGATTAGTGATACAATGGCTACGGAGAAGAAGACGTACGAGAGGATGGTCTGTACAATCACGCACAATCGGTCAGAGCGTGCTCCCTGGACTAGAGATCACCAACGCATACCTCATGCATGAACTCCCCAGCAGACGGCCACGCCTTCCCAGCCACAACAATCAACTCCCATCTCAACAAGCACAGAAGCAAGAAAGAACGTACCTCAAGCGCCGGCTGATCGGATGCTATGGCAGCGAAGTGGTTGTCCCTTGTAGACGGAGGTATGTCAGAATGTACAAGAGTAGAACCCGTGAAGATCTGAGGGATGGCGGTGGCACGTACCACAAGAAGCGTTTCATATCTTCGCTCTGCTCGATCCCGGCGCTACAGTAAACACAGCCATCAGCCACGCGCGCTCCATTCTAATCGCCGACTCCGAACGCACAACGTCTCGGGCCTTGTCGAAAGCGCCGCGCGCGCCTCATTGCTCTCGGCATTATACTTCTGCATGAACCCCACGCGCAGAATGAGGATATCGCCCGTTCGGAAAGTGACGTTTTGGGAGCGCGCACAGCTCTCCAGCTCGCGCACAGAGATGCCGTGCGTGGTCCACGGATCGTACGGCAGCGCGCGCCCGGTGCTGGTGTAGAACGAGACGAGATCGAGCAGGACGCCGCGGCCGCAGATGCCGTGTTGGGCCCAATCTGCAGTGCGGAGCGTAATGGTGAGAACAGGGTTTCAGATAGCGATTGGAGATTGTGGGTTGGAGATGGCGATGGGGTAGATGTTGGGATGGGGTAGATGCCGAGATGTCTAGATGGTTGCACGGTGAGCGGTGAAGTTGCTACGTACTGTGCACGCCCATCTTGATGAGCTCGGGATCGACGTTCGTCGGGTCGGGGAATGCGATGTGGCCGGTGGGCAGTGAGTCGACTTTGTGGCTGCAGTACAGGGCGATGTCATTGTCAGATGAGATTTGGCACTGCGTCATGGGGGGTTTTGGATGGCACGTACCCGCCGTAGATGGTCTCGTGCTTGAGCACGGGAAAGTGCTTGAAGCAGTCCCATTGCGTTCCTGATTGTGTGTTCTGTGGCGGCTGTCAGCATGCATGACGAGCTTCATTCACAGAATAGGATCGCCATGGTTCGCTTGGAGACTGTCCATCACGCTTGTGCCCAGGCGCGCGTTTCTGTAGTCTCAGCGTAGGTCACCGTCTGAGAGGGGCTAGGTTCGACACGAATGACCTGAGCGATGCTGCACGGCAAGTCCAAGCAGAGCCTCCTTGCACCTAACAAGAGCCTCTGCATCATCTGAGATGGTACTTGAGGCGTTCTCGGCTAGTCTAGAGCCGTCCAACTAGAACGCGAGCCATCCGCTTCAAGTGTCCCATACCACCCGCATCCCGTCCTTTTCAAGAAGGGGGTTTGGGTGCCCACGACGTTCACGAGCAGTAGATCTGAACCAAAGAGAAACTCGCGTGGAAAGGAACGGGGACGAACTCACGATATGGATTTCCTCGTCCCGGACGCCGTGTCCAGTATAGAACGACTTGACCTCCGGCGCACGGCGGTTGAACATGGGCTACGCAGTATTGCTTCATTTTCGTCCCTTCATCCCACCCAACATCAAGCGCACCTTGTCCGGGAAGTTCAACGGCCTACCCACCATCCCTTATCAGTACATCCCAACCAAAACAATCAAGTAAACGCAAGACACACCAATTCAACGCGACACTCTCGCCCGTCCTGATTTCCTCCGCCGCCGCCCTCCGCACGACGTCGTCCGTGAGCAGATTGACGGTACCGAGCTGGTCGCCCGCGCCCCAGACGTCCCACGCGCACCCGGGCATGTCGTGGAACTTGGGGAGCTCGTCGAAGGATGGTAGTTTTCTTCCTTCGTTGGGCGGGGAGAGGTGGGCGAGGGTTTTTTGGAGTCGCGGGAGCATAATTGGTTTGTGTAGTGGCTGTATGGGTGAGTGAAGCTTGGAGGACGGTTCTGGCGAGCGGTACTGGTGAGAGATGGTATTGGTAGTTGAGCCATGTGAAGCGGGTAGCCGGTTTATATGAGAGCCGATGGGCTTGCGCCACACGCCTTGGGCAGCTGACGGGGAAGGATGTCATGGGCGAAGAAGCTTCGGCCGGGACTCCGCGTCCGCTCTTGTCTTCCTGACATGGATCTGAGGTCGTGAGTATGCAAGGTACCAAACGGTACAGGCCGAGGCGCTCAGCAGGGACGAAGAAGAAGAGTCGAACATATGGGAAGCAGGGCGGCGCCACATTTACGCGGCAAGACTTGGCGCATTCAACGGCCAGGCGTTTGCGAGAGACAAGAGCGATAACATTGAGCACATAACAAAGCGACAGGTCGCTTCATCGCCGAATCCCGACACTCGCGCCCATGGTCGTCGCTGTTCAAGCCTGTTCAAGCCCAACATGCCATCAAGCGCGCTCGCGGCAAAATCGGGCCGACTCATCCCGAAGCGCACCCATCGCCGGCGCGCGCGCGGAACAAGTCTCCCAGCAAGGGTTGCCTCTCTCCCCCACCACCACTAACAACCCATTCCCTCTTCGATCGTGCGGTGCCCCGTAACCAGCCCGAATCCGAACATAGCGATGACTGACCCAAGCCCAGGCTCCAAGCGTCCCTATCCAGGCAGGCACGACTCGGAGCACACAAAGCGCCCCCGCAGCGACGCACCCCGCGACTGGAAGGACGTCCACCTCGTCTCTCATCATAGGTCTGGCAGGGACTATAGTCGGGATAGGCCTAGGAGCCGGAGCCGCGACAGGAGGGACAGGCGGGATAACCCGAGGGACAGGGACAGGCGATATGGAGGGCGCGAGAGGGAACGAGAGCGAGAGCGAGACCGCGACCGCGACGAGCATTCGTCTAGAGCTGGAAGCGAGCGCAGACGGACGCCGACTTCACCCCGCACGCTCATCAACGTCAACGGCGCCCCGCGCAAACAGGCGCACGACTCGGACAGAGAAGAAGGCGAAATATCTCCCCCTCCTCCGCCCCCTCGCTCCTCCCCAAAGCCCCCTCCCCAAGAAACACCCTCAGCACCCTCAGCACCGGCAGAACCCGAGCTCGAACTAGAGCTCGCAGAGTCCCCCGTCCCCGTCGAGCTCACCCTCGCCCAACGGCGCGCAAAGCGTCAAGAGATCCTCGCCAAATACACCGGCGTCGCGTCGAACACAGCGGCAGCGAGCCCGAGCCCGAGTCTCAGTCTTAGCAGTGCGGTCCAGCCGCCTCCACCGCCTTCCGTCCCCTCTGACCTCGCATCCCACTTGCCTAGCACAAACGGCGCCGGGACGCCTCAGACCACCAACGGTCGCCCGAACGCAGAAGCAGGTCAATTCTCTTTCATTCTTATCTTTTCGATCGCGCTAATGGGAAATGTATATCGTTTGTAGATGCCCGTGGCTCACCCTCGGCATCTCCTACGGGCGACACGTTCGAGCTGGCCAAAGACAACGAGCAAGATCGTGCGCAGGCCGAGGCGCACGCTCAGGCGCAGCGCGAGGGCGACCGTATGATCTCTGCGGCCGATTACGATCCCAGCCTCGACAGACGCGAGGACGAGGAGCGGCGTGTACGGGGTGATCAGCCTGCCCCTGCCGTTCACGACGTCGATATGGTCGAGGAAGTTGTTGAAGAGGAGGTCGAAGAGGAAGAGGACGATCTGGACGATATGTTCGCGATTGGGAACGCGGAGAAGAAGACGAGGAAGGTTCGGAAGGTCGCCGTTGCTGTGCGTTTGCTCCCCTTACATCTATACACGTTCGATAATGCTAATGTGTGAAGCAGAAAACGGCGGTTCCGGCGCTGATCACTACGACGCTGGACAGCGCGTCCGATTCTGAGGGGTACTACTCCATCATCCTCGGCGAACAGCTCGACGGCGGGCGCTACCAGGTCTTCGCGTCGCTCGGCAAGGGCATGTTCGCGAACGTCGTGCGCGCGCGCGTGCTCACGGGCGACGACGGCGAAGTCGGGAGGGAAGTGGCGATCAAGATCGTACGGAGTCAGGAGTCTATGTGCGTTCACTCTGTGCAGTTCAGGTTGATTGTGTTCTGACAGTATGTTCGTAGGTATAAGGCCGGGCAGAAGGAGATACAGATTCTGAATAAGCTTAAGCAGGCCGATCCGGAGGATAAGAAGCATGTCGTCCGTTTGGAGCGCAGCTTTGAGCACCGCGGACATCTCTGTCTCGTCTTCGAGGCGCTCAGGTACGTCTATGTCCAATGTCTATTAGTCCACATGGTATTATTATCCGTACGGTGCTGACCCGCATCTCATTGCATTGCAGCATGAATCTGCGCGACGTCGTCAAGAAGTTCGGCAAAGACGTCGGGCTCAACATCCGCGCTGTGCGCGCGTACGCGCAGCAGCTCTTCCTCGCTATGAGTCTGCTCAGGAAATGCAACGTCACGCATGCGGATATTAAACCCGACAACATTCTCGTGCGTGATCCTCTCCATATGTACCATAGTCGAGGTGCTGATAAAGTCGGCAGGTGAACGAGCAGAAGACGCTGTTGAAGCTGTGCGATCTGGGTTCTGCGTCGGACGCGGCGGAGAACGACATCACGCCCTACCTCGTCTCGCGCTTCTACCGCGCGCCCGAAATCAGTACGTCCCCCCCCCTCTTCCTCCCATCCCCCACCTCTAACTCATCGCACAAAATAGTACTCGGCTACCCGTACGACTCCTCCCTCGACACCTGGTCCATCGGCTGCACGCTCTACGAGCTCTACACCGGCAAGATCCTCTTCCCCGGCCGCTCGAACAACCAGATGCTGCTCCTCATGATGGAGCTCAAGGGAAGGTTTAATAGCAAGATGATTAAGAAGGCGAGGTTTGGCGGGAGTTATTTTGATGAGATGGGCGGGTTTGGGAGTGTCGAGGTTGATCGGGTTACCGGTGGTGTGCGTTCTCTCTCCCTATATGTTCAGCTAAAGCCCGAGCTGATTCAACGATTCACAGGACGTCCTCCGCAAAATCCACATCTCCTCACCCACGCGCGACCTCCGCGCGCGCCTGTTCACGGCCGGCGCGGCGCAGCTCGGCGAGGACGAGCGCAAGATGCTGCTCTCGTTTGTCGATCTGCTGGAGCGGTGTCTCGCGCTTGATCCCGCAAGAAGGATCGCGCCCAAGGACGCGTTGGCGCATCCGTTTATTCGGGGGGTTTGATGTGGTGGGTGGGGAGGGGGAGGGGGAGGTGGTTGGGGTTGGTATGTTATGTAATGCGTGAGGAAGAGGTGCTATGTTAGAGGCGAGGATGGTAGCAAGCCGACAGGTAGCGGTTGCCCCTTACTACAGACAACAACTGCTTTTCAATCATCATACGCTCTCGCCACATCGCGTGACGTGCCACAACTTGAATGACAGTCGCCGTGACATGAGGAGCTGCAGAGGTCCCACGAGGACCCGATGAGCCTTCGATGAGCGTGCGGTGTGTATATGGGATTGGCCGTGTGTGAGGAGATAACGAGATCTCGTTGGCGCGCGTGCGCTGCAGCTTCGAATCTCGGCTGGGCCCAGCTGTACGATTGCGCCTTGGGTATTATAATAGAAGTAGTCTATGTCACGCAAAGAGGTTTATCGTTTTATAGCGAGCTGTACGGACTCCAGAGCAATGGACCTATGATGACGACTGTGCTTCATCCGCTGCTGCCATGCCTCTACAGGCCTCTACGAACTCTTTCACCAACTTCTGACCGACGTCGTCAGATATGTCCTCCATGCTCCCCCGCTCATTGCAGCTTGTTGGATGCGCAGACCAATATTTGATGCCATCACTCGGCTGATTCGGGCCGGTTCTGCATGCGCGCTCGTCGCGTCTGTTCGGCTTGACCAGCGGCCACCATGAGCTGCTGGGCGCAAGCGAGAGCGCCTACTCCATCCAAATAACTATCTCCCTTCTGATGCATGTCCATGTGCCGATGTCACTCTTACTATCGTACTATAGTCAAATGGTTGGACCTCGCCGCATCTGTCAGTATGACTTCCGATCTGGTCCTCCTCTCGGCGAAGCGCTCGATTTTCCCTCGCCATGCCATGAGTACCGATACAGCACGCCCGTACATGAACGACTCGACTCAGTGTACCGGTGCCTTGCAGCGGGCCAGTGCCTAGCGATAGTGGCCCATTCTCGACGAGTGGAATGGGCTAGCAGCTGAGCTGGGAGCCTTGAATTGCCCACAGCATCTCTGAGGGAGGCCGAGTTGCACCGATAACTACGTTGGGGCACGGAGAAGACGAGAGCGCACGAGAGTATGGGGCATGGCCGAGGTACGCCAAACTTCTTCATCACTTCTTCGATTGGATTGTCGCTGACCCATTTGTACATATAGCCATGATTTCGCGAGGTTCTGTCAGACGGGGTCGCGATCCGCGTTTTGACACCGTCTTTATCGAATCAGCGCTGCCCTAGGCTGACAAGCCGCACACGCTGTTTCCAAATATGTACGCAGTCTTGGCCGTATCTGTACTCCGAGATGAATTGACGAAGCCCATCGTCCCCGAGCGAGCGTCCACACACCCCTTGGTCCATGGTCCACCGCCCAAAATCTTACACTTGGCCTCGTACGCCACACGCTTACACCGAAACGGGCGTCATTGTGCCCATTCTCGTGTCGGAGACTCTCAGGCTTGCTCTGTGAGGAGACATACAGCCCTGACCCGCTTCCTCTACCAATGGCATCCCTCGCGCGTCAGCTGGTACAGGGTGTGGCGCACTAACAGGAATCTGCTTATAAGAGTCTTCGTGCAAGCTGGCTCATTCCGTGGCTTTCCCAAGTCTCCTCTCACCTACGTGCCATGCTTCCCAGACTTCAACAAACCCTCTCACACCTCGCGCCAGCCGAGCCCGGAGAGCGGAGCCTGCCCAGCTTTGACGAGCTGCCCAAGTTCCGCGGGATGACGGGTTGCGCCTGGAATGTGTGGGGAAAGGGAGACCAACTCGGGACTGTCAATATGCTCACGGACGTCGTTGTGAAGCGGGCGGCTCAGGAGGAGATCAGGACTGGCCAAGCTGTTTCTTTGAACTGGTATGTCCATGCCGATCTCAACAAGATATGTGTGCTGATCGAGTCTGTGCAGGCCTATCAACTTCCCTGAGAATGTGCGCTGCCTGGGGATACTGCTCGCCTGCAAGCGACCCGATCCTGAAGCCCGTGTAGCCCGTGTTTGGACGACGAGCGCCGGAGATCAAGTCACATTTTCATGGAATAGGCGGCGGCATCCAAGACGATGAAATTCATATTGTGAGCATCTTTCGTATGAGCATATGTGGGACGTACGGCGTAGCTCATGATGCCTCACAGAATACGCAGTCTGGCACGCAATGGGACTGCTTCAAACACTTTCCTATCTTAAAGCACAGAATTATCTACGGCGGGTGTGTTCCGGAGAGCCGTCTGACTTGAATCAACAGTACTGACCACTGCGGACATTTCCCAGTCTCGTGACTGACGACTTGCCGACCGGTCGGTTCTCCTTCCCTGACCCGATGAACATCGATCCCGAGATCGTCAAGATGGGTGTGCACAGTACGTACCCTCCCTACGATTTCAACATCCACGCAATCGTAATCTGACTGTGTTGTAGATTGGGCGCAACACGGCATCTGCGGGCGTGGCGTCTTTCTCGATCTCGTCGAGTTTTACACCAAGAACGGCGGTGCGCTCCCGTACGACCCGTGGACCACGCACCCCATCTCCGTGGCCGAGCTGGAGAGCTGTGCACGATCTCAAGGGATCACATTTCGCTATGGTGATATCCTTATCCTCCGCGTAGGGTTCATACAGAAGTACAATCACGAAAGCAACGAGGCGCGGGCGGCGCTGTCCGAGCGCCCCGAGACTTTGTGCGTGCGGTCATCATTCATAGATCAACAGCATTGGCGTGCACTGGGGTTGATGCTCACCTCAGCGCTGGGATAGAGCAAAGCGAGGACATGAAACGGTTCTTGTGGTACGTCGCCGATCTTCCTGGGTTCTACTCGTGTCCATACTGACACATTCATGTCTACAAGGAATAATCACTTCGCGGCGATAGCGTCTGATCAGCCGTCGCTTGAGGTGCGTCTCCTCCCTGCGCAGCCGGTAATGGAGGGCTTATGTATTCGGCAGGCTTGGCCATGCACTGGCGAGTACATGCATGAGGTATGTGCCCGCGATGACAAATTGCTGCGTGGCCCTCTGAACAGTTGTACGCTCCTATACAGACGATTCTCTCGTATGTCGTCTCCTTCGTGTCTACTCTACTGCTGTTGATGATGTTATCTGTCAGGTTATGGGGTATGCCGCTCGGTAAGTTCCCCGTCGCATGCACAAGAGACGCACGTTCTGACTTTGTCGCGCGCAGGCGAACTATTCGACCTGGAGAAACTGTCGGAAGTGTGCAAGCGAAACGGTCGCTACACGTACTTCTTCTCATCTTGGCCGTTGAATATGTGCGATGCTTCACAACTCAGTTGCTTCAGTACTCTGTCCGCTGATGATCTTTATTATGTAGCCTAGGAGGTGTCGCAAGCCCGCCAAACGCCGCGGTAAGCACTCACGGAAGTCGATCTCAGCGCGCCGGAGGTTGACCCAACGTTCTACGTCAGGCCTACTTTTGAAGTGCGTCCAGCCAGAGATACACCGGTGGTCTACGTATCAGAAGAGTCCATTCGTCGGATCATCATAGGGGGGATATACTATGTGTATACTCGGCAGCTCCAGAAAGGCGAATGGGTGGTGTTTGCTTTCAACGACAGGGTTGCCTTGTCTAGTACCTCATTTGCGCAATTATGATGGGTGTGGCTTCGAGTGCCCACTTGAATGCTTCCTTTACCCATGACGTCCCTTCCAAATGTCAGCTGGTCCAGCGTGGGCGTACTGCCATACCCTTCGTATAAGGCTTCTCCGATGCACTTCATGACCTTATGGTTCTTCTGCCTTCTGCCTTCCACTGATATCGCACGTTTATCACAGCATGCAACCCGTCGGAGCCCCCGTTCATGAAAGGAAGCTGCCCAGCTTCGACGAGCTGCCTATGTTTCATGACATGACTGGCTGCGCTTGGGATGTCTGGGGAAAGGGAGATCAGTTAGGGACGGTGAATCTGCTTACAGATGCACTTGTGCAGCGGACAGCCAAGGAAGAGATCAGGTATGCTCTCTTCAAAGTCGACGAGCCGCTTGCACGCTCTTACTCTACGCAGGACTGGCCAAGCAGTTTCGCTGAACTGGTATGTTCGCGCATGTGCTCTCTATCCATTGCGCCTTGTTGATGTGGTACAGGCCGATCAACTTCCCGGAAAAGGTAGATCCGTCGGATCTTCCGATTTTGGATCAACCTCATGTTCAATCGCAGCCTGTGTTCAAACGCCGGGAGCCCGAGATAGTTTCGCATTATCTCAGAGAGGGAAGTGGCATTCGGGACGATGAAATACACATCGTGAGTTTCCCATCTAGCGGTTGTACGTCTGTACCAGTTGCAGACCGTGGCGCTTCTCAGAACACTCAGTCGGGCACACAATGGGACTGCTTCAGGCACTTCCACGCTATACCGTACAATACGATCTACGGAGGGTGAGTCGCTTTGGCGCTATATGACGAGATATCAACTCAATCCTGCCTGGGATCGGCTTCAGCGTCAAACTTCAGGACGTTCCGGTCGGCCACATCTCCTTTCCTGACCCCATGAATGTCGATCCCGATATCATCAAGATGGGCGTGCACAGTACGTATCTGAAGCTTGTCGCGTTCCGAACGCGGACCCACACTCAACCATTCCTGTGTTGCAGACTGGGCTCAGCACGGCATCTGTGGTCGGGGTGTTCTGCTTGACCTCGTCGAGTACTATACCAAAGACGGGGGAACTCTCCCTTACGATCCCTGGTTCACACATGCCATCACCGCCACCGAACTTGAGAGCTGTGCGCAATCACAAGGGACCGAATTCCGTTAAGGAGATATCCTCATTCTCCGTGTCGGATTCATACAGAAATATGACCGCGAGAGCCACGAGGCCCGTGTGGCACTGGCTGAGCGCCCAGAGGCATTGTGCGTACACTACCGCAGGCTTAGACACGCTTCTCGCGCTTATCGTGTTGATCTAGTGCTGGGATCGAGCACAGCGAGGATATGAAACGGTTCTTGTGGTAGGCATCAATCTTCTGGGATTCTACTACGGTCCATGCTGACCCACCTCTGTCCACAAGGGACAACCACTTCGCGGCGATTGCATCCGATCAACCCGCTCTCGAGGTAACGTTCCCTACTGCCAAAGACTGCGGATACAGGCTCGAGTTGCTTACGAGTCGGAATATGGCAGTGCTTTCCGCCTGGTGAGAGATACATGCACGAGGTAGGCCTTTGTCATTTCAAATCGGCTCGCCACTGATCAGCGGGTGACCGGCTTACTCCCTTTAAAGACCATTCTTTCGTGCGTTGTCTTCGATCCCGTGTTACCATTTGACTGATACCCTCTCAATCAGGATGTGGGGTATGCCGCTAGGTATGATACAGCTGTTACTAGTGGATGTGTCGCGGTCGTTTGTTGACAATGTCCTATCTAGGCGAATTCTTCGATGTAGAGAAGTTATCGGAAGTATGCAAGGCTACATGTCGTTACACGTTCTTCTTCTCATCTTGGCCTTTGAACGTGTGCGTGGTCTTATCTTTGGTTTTTGCTTAGACTTCTCTGTTGATAAGCGACTGCGATACAGATTGGGAGGAGTCGCAAGCCCTCCGAATGCCGCCGTGAGTCTGCACAAGCCGGGTCCAAAGTTGCAGTATAGAGCTTTTGACTGATCTCTACGCAAGGCCTACTTCTGAGGAATCACTCAATAGACAACTGAACTGCATGCGCAAGTGGTAACTCTAGTACTCCTGTATACCGTGAATCAGGTCATGTCGACATCTACCTAAAGACTACTACGTATACTTATGCTTGTGGTTCGAATATCGACGGATCAGATGATGATGGCTCGTTCTGCAAGATCATGAGTAGCTCTCTGAAGCCCTTCGCATATACCATATATCATAGTTCTCGTAGTGCGAGCACCACCAATCGTGCCGACAAGTTGTGCCGACAAGGCCGAAGTGTGCGAAGCGGACGTCCGCAGCTGCCGCGTCGCGTCCACATCTGGCGCGACTTTGCTCCCACCACCACCACACCATCATCAATCATCCGTGCTGGCGGTGCCAGGACTCCCTCAGACACCTATCGTAGATACTACGCTCATCACGAACATCTTCGAGCGCCTACAGCCTCGAAGCACGTCTTGTCAGCCTGTGTGTTCAGCCAGCTTCCTGTACTACCGCGAAGTCCCTTGATGATTCGCCGCGAGTCGGTGATACGAGGGTGTACTTTGGCGCGCGTTCGGACATCTGTCTCTCAATCGCACCGTTCTCACTTCATATGTCATGGGCTGGCAGCTTTCTGTACAATGTCCGAAGCGTCGCCGAACCATCGGAAACTGCCTGGCGGTAGCTGGTGCCCAAAGGAGTAAGGCAGCATCCTGTCCAGCACTTATTGGGAACTCCGGGAGTTTGCGGCGGGGCACTCATCTCTCGACTCCATTATGACGGTGCAGACGTACATCAATTGGTCTGTATGTGCAAATACTACCTACGGGGGTGTAGAAACATGTATGTGTGTTAATTCGTTCTCCTTTCCTTACGAGGGCGAGTCCTGCATATATTCTGAAGTTGATTTCGTACGACTCCTGTGCGGCCGCGGTGTTCCGCGACGTTTCCAAGATTTTGGCACAGTGTACGCGAAAGCAATTACGCTCGCCTTGGCAAGTCTGGCTGTAGATCCCATGCAATAATCGGAGCGGTCGCTTTCCTCGGTAGCCGGCAAAAGCGATGTAGTCGGAATGTACTTTGCATGGCGCGTATTGGATGCCTGCGAGACTGACCGCTTGACGGCGCGCTCGCACTGCGTCTTGATATCTTGTTCAGAGTGCAGCACGTTCGCGATCCACCATAACGAGATCAAGGATAGTTGAACCTGCTTGAGTGCTTGCGAACACAATGTCACGGCAGGGAGCTGGCGGCTGGCCGATCAACATCCCAAAGAAGGTGCGTCGACGGGCATAATACTCGGAGTTGTTACTCCAGCGCAGACAGGCGCTCTAGCCATCATGTCGTCGTCGTGCGCCACATATCAATATATCAATCCCCGGTATCTCATCGAGGCAGCTACTATCAAAGACGATGAGATCCACCATGCGAGCCATCGATGTACCATCTTTGGTGAAGACTGACTAGTCACTACTTCATACATATAGAACACGCAATGTGGTACGCAGTGGGACTGCTTCAAGCACTTCGCGGTACTGGACCACAACACCATCTATGGCGGGTACGTATCTCGGAGACAGCATGCGATGTGGAAGTCTTGACGTAGCCCCGATGCAGTGTCAAAGTCGAAGACCTCCCGATCGGACATATCTCGCTTCCTGGCTCGTAGAACATAGATCCGGAGCTGATCAAGATGGGCGTTCGAAGTACGACCTTTGACGCTCGTCGCAGACAAAGGGTAGCTCAAACCATCATATCACGCATGTTGGACACAGCACGG